TAATCTTTGGATCTGGATCGCGAATTCTTCTAAAATCCAAACAGGTAATAACAAGTTAACAAACCTTAACTACCAAAATAGTAAAAGTTATTATTAATTTTTGGATCTGGACCGCAAACTCTTCTAAAATCCAATCCTGATGATAAAGAAACCTGTTTGGATAAGAGTGCGATTAAATATACATTTAAATTTTTATCTACATTTGAACAACATTTTCACCTCCTAAGCGTGCATGTTAATTTGCGAATAATAAAAGGCTCCAAGGTTCATTTTTTATTTAAATACAGTAATTAATTATTATTTTTAATTCAAAATTTCTACTATATAAAGAATTGATTTTATTACCTTTTTTAAGAGATGCACGATCTAGTCAGAATTGCTTAACCCCATAACCCCACGGCATGATTTGTGCAAACCAGAAAAACCCAAATATGATACTGTAGATAAATTAACCGTTACTAAAACTGAGATCTGAAATTAATAATATGAATAATAATAGATTTTAAAGATTTCAAGTTTGATTTCAGAAAAGGAATTTAGAGCATTTTCATAAATAAATTAGTATGAACATGTACGTACATGTGTTGCTTTTTTGTCTTGTTTTTAAAAACAAACAAATGCTAATGAATAATAAAAAAAATTTTCAGGTTCAAGCAAAGAAATTTTTAAAAAAATTTCATGTGAATGGCAACAATTTTTTTAAAAAAAATGATCAAAACCTGTGCTTTATGTACTGTATTGCATTCAATATATTATAATATTATTACTGCATTAAGAAGTCTATTACGAAGGAATTAAATTTATAATGAACTAATTAAATATTGAATAAATATCTTTAAATATCGCAAGTTAACAATTCAGTTAAACGTGTTTTTTGAAATTCAAAATCACAATATGGCAGAAAACTCTAACGCTTCTTCTTTTAATCCAATTGATACATCTACATGAAAATCTAGTAGTAAACCAAAGTCAATCATATGGGAAACACATATTAAACAAGGAAAAGAAATTTCTAAAGGCCATTGGAGTGCGACATGCAACTATTGTAATGAGTTTTGGTATAAAGGCTCCCCTGCTTCCCTTGAAGCTCATTTAGGTAACTCATGTAATAAAGCCCCACCAGATGTTCGTAGCTTATTTTTAAGTCGATTAGCAACAAAAGAACTTAATGCATCAACATCAAAAAAACGAAAACTTAATGTTCAGTCACAACTTTCTGACTTCATTGAAAGTACCAAGTTAATACCAGATCGTATTAAAGACATAAATAGAGCATTAGTAAAGGCATTTATTGTTTGTGGTATCCCCTTTCATATTATTGAGAATCCATTTTTTGTAGAGTTATTAAAAACTTTACGTCCAGCATATGAGCCACCATCTAAAGATGTTTTTTCTGGTCACTATTTGGCACAAGAAACAGTATTTGTTAATCAGGCAATGATTAAACAATTGAATAGTTCAAAAAATATGACTTTTGGTAAATTATTTATTTTAGTTACACTAAATAAAACAGACCGATCTTATGCATTCATTAATAAGATCACTTACAGGTTTTATTTAGTATTACTGATTTTTTATTTTATTATTTAGCATATGATGGCTAGAGTAATCCTTCTAACAAGTCAATTTGGAACTTTGTAATCTATACACCAGACCGCTGTCAATATTTGTGGAGTCTTCAAAACCTGTCAAATGAA